GTGGTAGTTACCTTGCTGTCTATGGGAGGGTCAGAGAGCCCTCAGATTTCATCAAAAATATCTTAAATTGTGTTCCGAAGATGAACAAAGGTCTTACGGGGTTGGAACAACACGAGGGTGAGTAATTAATGACAGAATTTTCATTTTTGGGTGAACTAACCCTTTAATGATACTTGAATTATTTGTAGATAACATTTTAATAGATTACAGCTTCGTGAAAACATTTGAAATTGGTTTGTAAAAGATGTCATAGATGTTTTCGTTGCATTCAGACTGTTTTGACCAGCAGGTACTGCCAGCCTGTGGAGTTTCGAGTGATTAAAAAAAAAGGGAATCATTTTATGAAGCAGTTGGTTCAGTTGATTCAGACCTTCGTTTCTCCCAGCAGTAACGTTAAAAGTAAATTTGTTAAAATGTGACTTTAAACCTGGTTTTTGGAGTAGCTTGCATAAAATGACTATGGCTATATTATTGAAATAAGTGAGAAATCTGAGAACAGGACAAAAAAAAAAATCTGATAAGCAGGCCACACGTTAGCCAATCAAAAACAGTTTGGGGGCGGGGCTATCTGTTTTTATAAATAATAGCAGATGGGGGATCATTTGAGAGTGTTATTTATTTTTCAGTTCTGTTTGGTGCCACTTGTGATGCAGAAAACCGCTTCCAGCAACTTCCCAGCATCTCAAGACTGGGAAGTTTCGAAAATTCATTTGTTTTCTATACAATTTCTCTGTTTTTGCCACGGGATTGATATCCCGTGGTAACTAGGATTTACACAAGCTTCAGTCTGGATCCAGAACACCTGAGAAGAGATGATGCCAACCCCTCAGAGGACCTCAGATGATGCCAACCCTGAAACAACCCACCAGATCCAGTCTGTATCCAGATCAGATGGTCACTGCAGTCACCCGGATCCAGTACGTATTCAGACCAGATGGTGGATCAGCACCTAGAGAGGACCTCTACAGCCCTGAAAGACAGCGGAGACCAGGACAACTAGATGAACACCAGATACAGATGTTATTCCCCTGTAAAGACCTTGTCTCAGACGACCACCGGGACAAGACCACAGGAACCAGACGATTCCTCTGCACAATGTGACTTTGCTAGCCTGAAATTGAACTGCTGGTTTTGTCTGGCCAGAGGAGAACTGCCCCCCCGACTGAGCCTGGTTTCTCCCAAGGTTTTTTCTCCATTCTGTCACCGATGGAGTTTTGGTTCCTTGCCGCTGTCGCCTCTGGCTTGCTTAGTTGGGGACACTTCATTTCCAGCGATATTGTTGACTTGATTGCAAATGATTGCAAAGATACTATTTAAACTGAACTGAGCTGAATGAAGACATCACTGAATTCAATGATGAACTGCCTTTAACTGAAAAATGAGTGTTTACTATTGTCATTTTGCATTATTGACACACTATTTTCCTAATTAATGCTGTTCAGTTGCTTTGACACAATCTGTATTGTTAAAAGCGCTATATAAATAAAGGTGACTTGACTTGACTTGACAATTATTGGTTTGTCGCCACGGTAACGGACTGGCGGAATGTTTGAATCAATCGTTTTGGTTTGAAGGAAGAGTTACAAAACAAATGAGGACATGAATCGCGAGATTCATTATTCATGAGCGCTGCATCAATATATAAAATGTTTTCACTCTAAGAAGGTATTGTAACATAAAAAAACACATTGCTTTGATTAAATGTGGTTAAAACTTTGTTGTCATTTTTAAATCGGTGACAAAGCTGAATGTGTGAAAGGCGTTCACTTGTGATATCAGCTGCATGAAGTATTTGTGGTAAAGCAGCAAAGTAATCACACTTCTAATGCTGGTTGCTTGTTTTTATAAGAAGCCTCTGTATTGATCAGAAGTGTACACTGTTATTAGATCACGACTGACTTCACACTGCAAATAATGAGCGAAAATAGTAATTAAGGAGTGAAATGTGTGTTTGCTGTACAAGAAACATTACTTATTATTATCAATGTTAACAGTTGTGCTGCATAATATTTTAGTAAAAACTGTGATACGTTTTTTCAGGATTCTTTAATAAGTATGCAGTTCATTGAACAGCATTAAACGTCAACATTATATGAGCAACCTTATAAGTCTCTACTGTTACTTTTGAACAATTTAATGCATCTTTACGTCTGATTTTTATTTGTTATCGAACTATCAAAATATTTCTACTTATAAATTTATATCACTTCATAAATATATATTTGAATTTCTTTTTTTTTTTTTTTCATTCACACTGAGTGAAATCAGTAATAATAGCCAATAAATAAATAAAACATTTCATACTGTTAAAATGACCCACATGTTGTGCATCCATATGGATTGATCCCTTTGTTACTGCTGGCTGATATGAAATCTGGAAAACACTAATGAATATTTAACGCCTATCCACAGGGCTTCAGGATCTTTAAAAGGCAGGGTGCACAGTGCTTACCAAAAGCTCTTCCTCATCCCTTGGGGGGAAAAAAATAAATAAATAACAGGAAACAGAGCAGAGCAGGCGGAAGAAATAATCAACGCGAATTAGCATACTGTCTTTGACTCCTGGATGACACTGATTATTCTTGCAATGCCCGTTCTCCTCAGACACATTCGCAGTTAATGCATAGATCCTCAGTGTGCCGAGAGCCGTTATATCCACAGGGCAGGGGCTTTGAGACTGAACGAAGATGGTAGATGTGAGAAGAGGAAAAAGTGTTGTTTATCATCTCAGCTTTCTCTCTTTTAGCACATATCATTATCTGCCAAAAAACATCTTGAGAAACCAAGTCATTTTGAGATGAAATGAGCTTTACGGAACAAAAAGCAAATATCTTACTACCTCAGTATCAAATTCTTGCTATATTTATTCACTCAGTTTAGTGTCACATGATCCTTCATAAATCATTCTAATATGCTGATTTGATGCTCAAGAAAACTTTCTTATGATTGCCATTACTGAAAACAGTTTTTGCTGTTTAACATTTTTGTGGAAACTACCATGCAGTAGTTTAGGGTATGGAAGATTAAAAAAAAAATCTGAAAAATGCCGAGAGCCGTTATATCCACAGGGCAGGGGCTTTGAGACCGAACGAAGATGGTAGATGTGAGAAGAGGAAAAAGTGTTGTTTATCATCTCAGCTTTCTCTCTTTTAGCACATATCATTATCTGCCAAAAAACATCTTGAGAAATCAAGTCATTTGAAGATGAAATGAGCTTTACGGAACAAAAAGCAAATATCTAGCTACCTCAATATAAAATTCTTACTATATTTGTTCATTCAGTTTTTAATCACGACTCTATAAATGCTTATGAATTTTCTATTCATAAGAGAATTGTTCAAATGTATGTATCATGATTTCTGCAAAAAGATTAAGATGCAAAAAACTGTTTTTGACATTGATAATAATAACAACCATTATTAGTAATTGAGTACCACACTAGTAACTGAGCAAATCAGAATATTAGAACGATTTCTGAAGGATCGTGTGATTAAAATAGAAAACAGTTATTCTAAATTGTAATAATATTTCACAGTATTACTGTTTTTACTGCATTTAATCAAGTAAATACAGCTTTGATGAGTATAAGAGACAAATACAATTTTCATAATTCAAAAATTCAAAACTTTTGACCTGTAAGGTGTGTGTTCCATACAGGTAAATTAAAAGGTAGAGTATTCATTCACTTCCATTCTGTCCGTCATTCTTATGGATGTGTCATTGTTTAAAACAAATACTGGGGACAGCATGTCTGGGCCCTTAAGGAAGTTGTACAGCTTACAGCATCAATTCATTGCAGCTTTCCAAGCCATTCAGAGTTGGGTTTCCCAAAATGCATTAAGATCACTTTAAATAAGCATTCAAGTGTTTTCTAAAATCAATGTGGTCATACAGATGCATCATTCAAATTAAAATCACTTAAAGGAAAAAAAAAAAGATATTCTGAATCGTTTACTTGTGTTGCTGCAAACCAGACTTTCTTTTTTTTCTGGGAAAGTGACTTTTTTTTATTGTATAATGACTTACATTTCAGCATGTTTCTCATGCAAAGTTATCATAATATTGTTTGAACTCTGAAATATATCACATTGTGGAAATAAAATGGGTTGTAAATGTCAATCCATGTTGGCTTTAAATGGATAGTTCAGGCAAAAATGAACATTCTGTGATTATTTACTGCACCTTCATGTCGTTCCAAACCTGTATGACTTTCACAGGTCTTTTATGTGGAGCACAAAAGAAGATATTACAAAATGTCTAATTGTTATTTTTATTGTTGTTTTGCACTCCATTAACTTTCACTAAATAGACAAATACAGGTTTGGAATGACATAAGGGTGAGTACTTGATGATTTTGAGTGAACTATCCCTTTAAATTCAATTTATAGATGTACATCTTCCTTAAATTCTGGTCTCTAGATTGACTGACTTGTGACAATATAACTTTATTGACCTGATTTGTATTGTAACAGTTTAAAAGGTTGCAAAAGGTAATTGTAACTTTTTTTCTCACAATTCTGAATTGCGAGATATAAACTCAAAATAGCAAAACATAAACTCAATTCTGAGTTTACATCTTGCAAAAATGATCATTGTGACTTTATATCTCACAATTCTGAGTTTTCTTCTCGGGATTGTGGGAAAAAAGTTGCATTACCCCTTTTGTAATTGTGACTTTATATCTCACAATTCTGAGTTTTCTTCTCGGGATTGTGGGGGAAAAAGTTGCAGTTACCCCTTTTGTTTTTTTATTCAATGGCCCAACAAGCTTCCATAGACATTCATATATCAGAATATAATAATGATGGTTTTACGTAATGAAACTTCCTTCTGCTTAATCTAAATATGAAATAAAGTATCTATTCCCTGAAGTAATCACAGTAGCACAGCAAAACTGACTTTATATGTCCCTTGGGTTTTTGTCCTTCATTCTTTCTTTTGGGCCTTAAATGATCCTCATCACCTGTCAGAAAGTCATTTTGTGAGACGTACAGATCACAGGTCAAGAGGGCAGTAGAGTTGCCTAGCGGATAAAGATTCGCTCTGTTAACCAAAAGATTGTAGGTTCATATCCCATAAAGATGGATCCATGAATCAACACTGTGTCCTTGAGCGAGACACTTAACCTCTGTGTACTCCACAGGGACTGTCACTGTAGTAAGTGTACTGGTGGTCACTTCAGATAAGTGTGTCTGAAACTGACTCCTGAACCAAGTGTGTTTCATATCCCTAAAAGTGTATCAGCTCTATTGCGAAACAGGAGACCTGTTTCAGAATTGATTCCAGTAGATTTTGATGCTAGCATGTTGCTAAGCTAACAACACAATAATATAAAAACTATAAATAGGCTACATGCTGAATTTTTTAATTTTTTAATTTTTTAGAACGAATTTATAAAATATATGTGTGTGTGTCTGTGTGTGTAATTTTCATTTTAATTATTTTAGTTATATATATATATATATAAACTAAAAAACTTTAAATGAAAATTTGACATTATTATTATTAAAAACTATAATAGTATCTTATTTATACTAAAATAACACTGCACAATACCTACAAAAGTCTAATTTTGCTATGTTTTATATTCTTAATTGTGTCTTGTACATATAAAGTCTTGCATCTTCTCAAATTGCTTATAGTAATAGATGCAATGTTTGTCTTCACTCATTTGTGACACCTCATTTCATTTAATTATATTAATTTAGTGTGGTTTGACCTGAATATCAAGCTGCCATATCACGTTGCAATCGTTTATTTATCTGCAAGTCGTTTAAGCGAACTCATCTGTAGTTTTATAGTGCTACATGGGTTTTCATATCCCGTGCTGATGAAAATACAATAAACCGTTTTATCTATACCTCTTATAGATCACTATTATATTATATCACTATTGAGGTGAATCGTTTAAAGTTCAATTAGGTTTGTATGAATTTATGAATGTGCTTTTTTAATAATAGCCTTACAAGTGCTTATCAACTGTTCTGTGATGTTCTCATCTTTTTTTCTCCACATCCATCTTTTTCTCCAGGGGTTTGGTAAACAAGTTGATGTTTCTTACATTGCCCAGCATTACAACATGAGCAAAAGCAAAGTGGACAACCAGTTCTACAGTGTGGAAGTAGGAGATTCCACCTTCACGGTTCTCAAACGGTACCAAAATCTAAAGCCCATCGGTTCTGGGGCTCAGGGAATAGTGTGGTGAGTACCCATAATGCATCGCTTTGTCTTTTTATTGTGAAATATGTCCATATGGATGGCATAATGATTCTCAAACGTCTTCCTGATTGAGGCTTTTAATGTTAAGTTCTTGGAAGAATGAATTGCAGTTCCCAGTGGACAGCAATTAATTTGGATCCGAGTTGTGCTCATTGTGCTCCCCAAAAACCAAACCCTATGATTTCCAATGAAAATACAAGCTAGTATGAGTCGTTGACTTTTCACCCATGGGATTATGGGAAATCTAGATTAAGTTGGCCCTCCCTTTTCCCATTTCCCTGTCTTTTTCCCCTCCCCCATTCCTCTGTCCTTGCCTCTCAGTTTCAGTGGCAGCGGTACGGTTGTGCGGAGCAGGCAGGGAGGCAGGACTGGACTGTTAATGGCTTTGTTGATGTGTTCTGGCTGGTTTGCTGGCTGCGGTAATCCTGCCTGTTGGACGGACAACCCTGATCTAATTTAGCTTCCTCTCCTCAGCAGCAGTCACATGATGTAGCATGGCAGCTATATTAGCCTAACAAACGCCACATCATTCTCCGGAGAGAGAGAGAGGCAAAAGAAGGACAGTTTAAAAGGACTGTGCAAAGTCACATGTTTTCCACAGGCCCTGATGAAACTAATGTGGTTAGGTTATATTACTGCAATATTTTAAAAATATTATAAAAACCTTAAAATCTTAGAGGCTAGAAATCTAAAAATCAAACTAAACTGCACACTTAATATTTTGGGGTTTATGTATTTTGATTACCAGAACTGCAACTCAGCAAAACTATAAAAGTGATCTTTTGAAGTTATAAAAATGATTGGAGTACGTAAAATTAAAAAAATAATAATAATAATAATAATTTCAGTCCTTCCACATTCAATTTACATGTTTAATACTTGCTTATATACTTATATAACATATTTTGAATTCAGAAAATAATTACATATTAGCACTGGTATTTATTTTCTATTAAATGGTAAATTTACATTTTAAAATTAATATGATACAATTATTTTATTCGGAAATTATAGTATAAGGTATTGATAATGTTTGCAACATTTCTGCAAAAATACATACCAATGGAAGAATTGCGATAAAATGTTTTTGAAAGTCTTTTAAACTCACCGAGGATGCATTTATTTGATCTAAAATACAGTAAAAACAGTAATATTGTGAAATATTATTACAATTTAAAATAACAGTTTTCTATTTGAAAATAGTTAAAAATGTAATTTAAACCTGTGCTGGCAAAGCTGTTTTTTTTAAGCAGTCATTGCTCCAGTGTCACATGATCCTTCAGAAATCGTGCTAAAACTTTTTTCAAAATCCAGTTGTGTATATATTTATTACATTAAATAAACCAAACATTTGTCATATTATTAAGTATGTAGGTAAGGTTATTACAACCTTATCATGACTTAAATAAACCTTTTCACCGCATATTTTTGCTAGCTGGGTCTGTGGAATTATTAAATGGATCTATCATATCATTCACAGTCCATGTTGGAAAGCTACATGCTGAATATTTAGATGACGCAGTGCTGCTTTCCTCAGAGTATAAATAGTCAGAGCTATGAGCATCTGCTGCTAAAGGTTTGGCCGCTAATAATTCATCATATCACACACTCACACACCAATCTCCTGACTGCTGGAAAATGAGATTCTTTACCTTGCGGAACTCTCTCCTATATTGCATGTTGGGTAAAAAGGTGTGTGCCAAGAAAGTAAATGTATAAGTAAATACAATTATCTGTAAAACAAACAGAATGTCCAAAAACATTACAAGCATCGGTTCTGTATTATATAATCCATTATGCAAAACAAAGGCAATTTCTCAAGAAGCAAAAGGATGCTTTCAGACTCTTAGGGGATTTCTTGGCCCAAATAATAGAAGAAAGGAGTATTTTTTGCCACGTTTTTGTGTTTCACTGAAGGTTGCTTTTGTGCTCATACTACTCATTCTATTTATGTTGTGCACTGTATAATTGTAGTAGGTCATTTGTTCTGTTACTAATAATATCTCACAATGAAATGTGCATGTTCCTTGGCTCATTAGTTGTTTGAACAGCCAAATTTGATTGAAAATAAATATATACAATATATTTACTATATATTACCATTTCTGCAATCTTAACTCATCACAACTTTCTTGTGACAGTGTAACCACAGTTTTGAATATTTATTGTTGCATATTGTGTGCTGTTTTAATGGTTTGGAGACAGTAAAATATGAAGTAAATTTGTACTTTTATTCAGCGAGGATTGCATTAAATTGATCAAAAGTTACAGTAAAGACATTTATAATATTATACATTTCCACAATTTCCACAGAAATATTTTTTACGCAGCACAACTGTTTTTAACATTGATAATAATAATAATAAATGTTTCTTGATCAGCAAATCAGCATATTAGAATGATTTCTAAAGGATCATGTGACACTGAAGACTGGAGTATTGATGCTGAAAATTCAGCTTTGCATCACAGGAATAAATTAAATTTTAAAACACATTAAAATAGAAAACACATTACAATATTGCTGTTTTAATGTTTTACTTTTACTTTTTGATCAAATAAATGCAGCCTTGGTAAGCATTAGAGACTTCTTTCAAAAACAAAAACAAAAACTTATCTACCCCAAACTTTGGATCAATAGTGTATAAAAATAAGCATAAAATTAAGCAGTATATAATATATACTATATTAAATCTAATATGCAATGACCAGTATGCTAGTACTAATTTCTGAAAATAGCTTGATTATTATACAACCTCTCATAGCAAAAAAGCACCTTTATTTACATGTCTTGCTTATGACAGGCCACAAAGACTATGTCATTTATGAGAGAAAAATAATGAGAACACAAACAAGCTGATAGGAGGTTTCTGAGCCAAACTCTTGTGCAGCTGGCAGAGGGGCTGAACATTGTGATGAACTTAGTGTCAAGTTAATTACACTAGGCTGTGATTAATTTCACCAGGCTGTCACCAAACTCCAGTATGGCTGTCAGCGACTTTGTCATCTTTTCCACTTCATTTCCTCATAGACTTAGGTTTGGGATGTGTGATGCATTGTGCTGTGATTATAGTGCTTGAATATGATTTTTAATGTGTTCAATTAAAAAAGATGATTTTTTTTGTTGTGGCCCAAAAATGGCTGGAAAGATTTAATCCTTTTTTTTTGTAGTGGAATACAATTCCTCTACAAAAAACTCAACAAATAATGATTTAAAGGAATAGTTCACCCAAAATGAAAATTTGCTGAGAATTTACTCACCCTCTGGCCCTCCAGGATGTAGATGAGTTTGTTTCTTCATCAGAACAGATTTGGAGAAATTCCGCATTACATCACTTGCCCACCAGTCGATCCTCTGCAGTGAATGGGTGCCGTCAGAATGAGAGTCCAAACAGCTGATAAAAACATCACAATAATCCACAAGTAATTCAAACTACTCCAGTCCATCAATTAACATCTTATGAAGTGAAAAGCTGTGTGTTTGTAAGAAACAAACCTACTACTCTGACGGCACCCATTCACTGCAGAGGATCCATTGGTGAGCAAGTGATGTAATGCTCAGTTTCTCCAAATCTGTTCAGATGAAGAAACAAACTCATCTACTCATCTTAGATGGCCAAATTTTCAGCATATTTAATTTATGTTGAACTATTCCTATATAGCCCACTCAAAAATTTAAATTTGCTGAAAAGTTACTTACCCTTATGTTGTTCCAAACTTGTATGAGTTTCTTTCTAACATGTGGAACACAAAAGAAGATACATGAGTGATATATAGAAGTTTTGGTTCTTATTGAGTTCCATTATATTTTTTGATAATACAATGGAAGTCAAAGGAAACCAAAACTGTTTGGTTACCAACATCCCTCAAAATATCTTCTTTTGTGTGCCACAATATTTGTGTTTGTGTTTTCATTTTTGGGTGAACTATCCCTTTAAATTTCAATCTGTTTCTCACATAAATGTATCGTATAGCTTTGGAAGACAAGTCATATGGACTTAAGTGGCTTTTGTGATCATTTTCGGAGCTTATCATTATGAATGACCAATTATCATTTTCGTTAGATGGACGTTTTGACACTCAGTTTTGACAAAATGTCAACTCCTTTTTTGTATTTCTTAGAAGAAAGAATAATACTTTTAGATACATGTGAATGAGAAAATTATGACATAATATTTTTAGACAATTCCTTTAGGTATAAGCCATTTTTACTAGTATGATATGATGTGGTTATATGTCAGGTCTTTCTACCCAAACAAACCTAGTTTTTATGCTGTAGTGTAAACTGTGGTGTTCAAGTAGTTAAAATGGTGTCTGGTTTGTGACAGCTGCCTGTAGGCTGGGCTCTTGAAGAGCAATGATGCAATGCATTAACTACCTAGAGAGACAGCCGTGACATCATCTTTGGGTATCTATGGCCGCCATTAGCCAAAAAATCTGAAACTGCCGTTACCATGGACACATCAGTTCTCGGTTCCAAAAACGTGCTTTAGAAACTTTCCTGCTGCAGCTCAGAGAATATCTTGCCTGCTTAAAATCACATGGTTTACTTTCTAAACATTGTTTAGTTGACTGAAATAACTATAATTTAACTGCACTTGGTGCAGAAACAGTTTTCACCTAATTAATTAGAAGAAACAGTAAGTAGCACACTGAATTGATGGTGAAATTTTAAAGTAGAAAGTAGGGCTGGGCGATATAGCTAAAAAATGTATCAACGATATAATGTTTCATATCGTTCGGTATCGATAATTATTGACATTTTTATAACCTTTTTTAAAACAAAGAGCAATAGAAAAAAAATTATAAATTTAACCACTGTATTTTTAAATTAACGCGCCACTGATGACGCTCCCTGATGCACACCTAACATTCAAATGCAAATGTTTTATTCACAATCTCCTCATCACAGGCAGGCACAGCACTCAATTCAGCATGTGTGCGTGTTTGTGTGTGCTGTCTGCGTCACTCATAGCACGTGCCTATATCGTGCACTATATCGAACATTTTTTATATCGTTATCGAAGAAGGTGTACCGTCGATAAATATCGATACCGTTTTATCGCCCAGGCCTAGTAGAAAGGCTGAAATAGTATTTTGTACTGTAGGGTAGGGTTTTTCCTCACCCCTCCTTGAAAGCCTGTTTTGGTGTATCTCACCCCCTTCTGCTTTGACCATCTGCTGTATAACCAACTCTACAGCTCTGACTGTCTGCTCAAATAATCCATAGGTGAATCAGAGATCCATATGGACCTTTGAGTTCTTGATTTCAGACTTTTATTCAGAGTTAAACATGCAGCTTTGACTGTTGAGTTGTAGTCCAATGTGAAAGTTTTAAAAACGGTTACATTGAACAGACAAGTGCCCAAGCACACACAGACCCTCACATTTTATTCACCCAGAAGGCGTTTAAATAGGTTTTTATTGGAGATTAAAAGAGTGTAGGTCAGTTTTGACTGTAGAACAGGGCACACTTTCAACTTTTCAGATGCGGTTTCTGTCTGTGGCTCCATGGGGTGCTGCAGGAGGAATTCATTTTTCAATCATTACCTGGTCCTGTGTGAGTCATGTTAGTCTTATTTTAACAATGGCACTTTAAACTTTACCAGCGCATGTCAACATGGTTAAAGAGCAGACTTTTTCAGTGCAGCCTTATGGGTTGAAGCTATTCAGTCGTAAACCTCAGCAGCTTTCAGAACACAATGGCCTCTGGTAGCACTTCTTGTACCTGGTCCAGTCGTAAAAAATAAAGTGCTTTTTACCAATGGCTCTACTGCTGCATTAACCACACTGTAATAAAATTGCCAGGAATTTACAGGATTAAAGAGTATTATTTTACAATAAATTACTGTAGCCAGAAATGTATTCTGAAATCAATGCATGCTGGGTCATTTTCTTACAAATGACTGTAAATGATCAGCAGAATGATGCTAAGAGGACAGTAATTTACTGCTCGTTTTACTCGCTTTAACTGTGCCACTGTGAGTAATTTAGATGTTTACTACTGTAATTGTACACTGACAAAAATAATCACTCAAACGCATTTATACTTCACACAAAAATCATTTTGACATATTCCTGTCATGCTAATTATCACACAAAATCCAGGTGGCCGGAACTTTATGCCTGTCTGGTTTTAATTTCCCATAATCCTCAAAGTAAAAGACAGGAAACAACGGAGACGGGTACCACCCATCGTGATACATTAATGCTTTTTTATGGCTAATTTATTATAAGAAATTAATTTATTACCTCCCTTTGGCATTGAAGGGACCATTTTGTTTGTGAAATTGAATTGTGAATCATTAAATTTTTTAAGCTTAACTCCTTAAATACAATTAATATCAGCCTTCCTTTTATCAGAGAACATTAATGTGTTATATCAAAATGAGCCATTGGCTACTTGTTTTCCGCAGTGCTTTGGGATTGAAGGCGCGCGCACACACACACACACACACACACACACTGAGTGCCTTGGCCCTCTCTAATCCTGTATTTTCCCGTGGAGAGCTGCGGCTCTTGCATAGTTAATGAGCACGGTTTTCCTGGGTGGTGAGGGAAAGCAGAGTGAAAGGGAGAAAGAGAAGGAGAGGGAGCGACTCCAGGTTTAACCCTTTGCTCATATTGCAAGATTGGAGAAGCATACTCTCTCCACCGATCAATCAGTGAAGGGTTTCCTGATGTCAGCGTTGAACATTACTCGATTGCTCTCAAATTTTTGTAAATTAAAATGTGAAAAACCCATTAACTCACATGAATAGAATGTTCAATATACTGTACATTCAAAAATATATATTTGTATTATATATTTTCGCACTAAATTGTGATTGGTCTTTCTTGCATTTATTTGCATATTGAATCAGGATTGGATTTTTCTTTCTTATTTCTACACGGTAAAAACAGATTTTTCGAAGTTGTAAATAAAATAAGGTTTATTGGAGTATGTTTGACGAGAAAATACTATTTCAGTCTCAATGTTACATTTAATTCAGTTTGTTACCTGCCATTATTTTTTAATTAATTGTGAAATTTACAAGCAATTTCTGAATTTAAATTGTTTCAGCATCATTTTTTTTCAGTGTATTAAACCATTTTGCATTTTGCAAAAGCAGCTCAAAAACATCCAACTGAAAACAAGGTGTTGCCCTAAAACTTAAACACTCTTTATTTATTCATTGCAAACAATAATATTTCTTTGTGAAAATGCAAATCTAGTTTATTTTATGGCTTTCATAATTTTAGATAATAAAAATTGAAATGAGCTGCAAATTGGAAAAAAAACAAAAAACAAACACTGTGTCTTTAAAATCACTTTTTGCCCAAAGGTTATATAGAGATATGTGTTGAATTTCACTCTGAATGTGAATTAAACATTTAAATGATTTTCATTCTCTTTACTAACTCATTGTTTTCCCACAAATTAATATTACTTTCTCTCTCACTCTCTCTGGCAGTGCTGGATATGACGCCGTCTTGGACAGAAATGTGGCCATTAAGAAACTCAGCAGACCTTTTCAGAACCAGACTCATGCCAAGAGAGCATACAGGGAGCTGGTGCTTATGAAATGTGTCAATCACAAAAACGTGAGTGCCAGATCTCAATATCTCTCACCCGTTGTTCCACTGGATGTAAAATGCTGCTAATAACTATTTCCTTTGAGACAAAAAGTGGGCTCAGAAAGCTAAACCCGCCATTCAAGTTAAAAAAAATATTTTGTGTTATTAGGGAATAATAACTCTTTAACTTTAATAGCTAAAAAAAATATATTTTCAGGCCTATTTAATATGCATCTATGTTCTAGAGCAGGGGTGTCAAACCCTGCAGAGTTTTGCTCCAACACATATACCATGTAGTTTTCAAATAAGCCTGAAGGACTTGATTAGTTGGATCAGGTGTGTTTAATTAGAGTTGAATCTAAACTCCTCCAGGAATTGAGTTTGACACCCCTGATCTAGAGTAAACAAACAGATGATTCATTTGTTGTACTGAAAGGTGGGACTTCTGTTTATACAGCCGCCATATTGAAAATTACTGTACATATCTTGCACACAAACCTCAGACTGAGAGAGAGAGAGAGAGAGAGAGAGATCGGTAGCATTAGATGATGAATGACAAAGTAAGAGAGAAAGGGAGTAATATTGTTAAAAGACAGAGAAGAAACACTTTTTTGGCAACTGAACAGTTCACAGTGCTGCTGCCAGATCTGCTGTCCTCCTCCTCGCTCTCTCTCTCATTGAGACTCGGGTTATAAAGGACAGCTGGGGCGTGACAGAAATACAAATGTGGTTTTTCTGTCATCCTCACCTCTTATTGACCATTGACAGTCGTTTTATGGATCTTCCAACCTCTTTTTGAGGAAAATAACATTGGCAAAGTTTACCCACACATTCTAAATGAGTAGTTAAAGGCATAGTTCACGGATAAATGACAGTTCGGTCATTATTTAGTCACCTTGGTGTCATTCGAAGCCTGTGTGCTGTTATTTATCCTGTGGAACAAAATAAATAAATAAATCATTGTTATTTCATTATCACTGATATACTATTATAGTTTTTGTTCATAATTTAAATTAGATTTTATATTTATATTTTCTGTTTTCACTTTAATTTTATTTAAAGTTTTAGTTTTGTTGTGTTTTTGTCATTTTTATTAGTTTTTTTAGTGTAGTTTTGCAGACCTGCCAACCTGTACGCATTTTGCGTAGCGGGTACGCATTTTGACCTTAAAGTACACTGGTACGATTTGTCACTCTAAACTACACAAAAACCCGGTGACCTGTCCACGTGCAGTAAACAAGCAACAGAAAAAGATGAGGAGTTCAACCAATCATGTTTTTTTATTTCTCTCCAAACTGGCTCTGTTTGTGTGTCCGTGAGTCGTGCGCTGAGATGAGGAAACACGTGTATGGTATTTCCTGGAGTCGTGAGCTCTATTTCTTCAGTGATGCATATGTGGACTTGCTGCGCAGGGGCGCCCTCTAGTATCCAGTATGAATGAATCAGACATTACATGTGTTCATAGCACTAAATAATGGCCAATCTATTTATTGTTTTTTTGTCTTTATTTCAGTTAAAGTTCATTTTATTCCAAGTGACAAAAGTTTATGATTTTAGTTAACTAAATAATAACACTGAAATAAAAAATAGATACTTGTTTATATATTTTATATTTTTATAAATGTATTTAAATACTTTTTTAAGTAAAAAAAAAAAAGTCATGCAATGACTCAAGAAGACTTTAAAAATTGAAATAAAAAATAGATACTTGTTTATATATTTTATATTTTTATAAATGTATTTAAATACTTTTTTAAGTAAAAAAAAAAAAGTCATGCAATGACTCAAGAAGACTTTAAAAATTGTAAGAAGATTTAATTTTTTGGTGAACTATTCCTTTAATGATTAATACAATGGAGCATTATAGTATAACTTCACGACTTTCACTAAGTTTTTCTCTTCTTTTCTCCTCCAGATCATCAGCTTATTAAATGTCTTCACACCACAGAAGTCTTTAGAGGAATTCCAAGATGTGTAAGTAACATTTGGAGATTTTTCCAAATTATTATCTGATTATATCATATAAAACATCTGAATGTAAACCGTTGACTGCTAGTGTTAAAACGGCAATCATGAAACTGTTCTGGTTCTGAAATCTGATTGGATAAGCTATGTTCAAAGCCAAATTGATGTTTTAAGCACACCTGTCACTGTATATATATGTATATATATCAAGCTAACCTAAGGAAAGAAATATATTGTCAGAAAGAGAAGGGGGCATTTATTGCTGAAAGTGCTTGCATTTGAATAAACATTATTAATAATGTAAATGTTTTTGAAACAAAGAAGAAAGAAAGTGAAGTGACGTGTGGCCAAGTATGGTGACCCATACTCGGAGTTTGTGCTCTGCATTTAACCCATCCATGTGCACACACACAGTGTGAACACACACACACTGTGAACACACACCCAGAGCAGTGGGCAACCATATTGCTGCGGCACCCGGGGAGCAGTTGGGGGTTCGGTGCCTTGCTCAAGGGTCTCACCTCAGTCGTGGTATTGAAGGTGGAAGAGAGTGCTGGTTATTCACTCCCCTCCACCGACAACAATGCATAGTCTGCCACAGTAAGGTGATTTATGATTTTTCAGGTTAATTGCAGCATGCCCTGTGGTGTTTGAGCTTATGCAGGCTCCCGATACAAGCACTGTGATGTAGCAGAGTGAGGGTGATAGATCACCTGCAGTCGGTTATGCTCCCGCTCCCTGGTTGGTCCCTGACACTTGAATCTTGTGCCGCCCATGCCTTAATTTATTTTGCATGCTGTGTGGACTTAATCTAGAGCAGGATCAATATGTTGAGTATGAAATGTCTGCTCAGTCAAAGCCGGATCATTTGAGTGTTAGGATGGATGGGACTAGTTTGTCACAGTTTGTCATATTACATTTTTTTGTGATCTTGAAATATATTTTTTTGGTTATAATTATACTCATTACTATTAAAAAAGTATTTAAAAAAAACTATTATAATAAAAAAATCACTATTTGTGTGGTACATTTATTTATAAGTATATATTATATTTATAATAATAATAACATAATAGTAAATAATAAATGTGTGTGTGTGTGTGTATATATATATATATATATATATTGTCAGGGTTCTGTCACTTTGGTCTGGTTTTTTCTTGGTTTTGTGACAGAGTTACACAATTATATGTATTATAATAATAAATAATAATGATAAGTGTCTGTAAAATACATACATATATATTACTGTTATATCTAATGATTTTTTACATATGTTTTACTATATATATATAGTGCACTTTCATTGATTGAGGGTCAAAGCTGCTTTTTGGATTTTCATAAAACAAAACGTTTAATCCATAAATGTGCAGCCATGGTTTCTGAGCACTCAGCAGAATGCGATTGACTGTTAGTATTCCATTCACTGACTTGCTGACTGTCATCATCCGACAAGTATTTTCTCTGTATAAGAGGTTGTAAAGATCCTCATCGATCCACAGTGGCCTCTTTTGTGCATTAAGAAAGAATGAATAAACCATGCCAATTTAATATGACATAATCACAGGGACAGTCACTGTTGCTGTTGTCCAGCCTGAGAAATTCACATTTTCTTCCTTCCCTTTTCTCTTTTCTCCAGTTACCTGGTCATGGAGCTGATGGATGCAAACCTTTGCCAGGTGATTCAGATGGAGCTGGACCACGAGAGGATGTCCTACCTGCTGTACCAGATGTTGTGTGGAATCAAACACCTGCACTCAGCCGGCATCATCCACAGGGTGAGAGACATGGGTCACATACAGCAGGACACAGCAGGATCAATAAATGACAGGATTTTAATTTAGGGTGAACCAAAATTCATATCGGGATGGAATAATCAGTTTTATTAATTTAAATAATCAATAAAAGCTGAACTCCTAACAAAACTCTTATCATCTTCTTGCCATGACCCATATTTTCCTTTAAGGATCTGAAACCTAGCAATATTGTGGTGAAATCCGACTGTACGCTGAAGATCTTGGACTTTGGGTTGGCAAGAACTGCTGGCACTAGCTTTATGATGACGCCCTACGTGGTGACGCGGTACTACAGGGCCCCAGAGGTCATCCTGGGCATGGGATACAAGGAGAACGGTAAACCAATCACGGGGCTGCATGCAGATTGACCTACACTTTTAAATAACACTATAATCTTGGGTTTTATAGAACCTGTGAAATCAAAATTGGAGTTAAAGTGGAGTTTTGTGTCCAAATATTTTAGTATTTAGTATGTAAAGCAGTATGTTTTATGCAACTGGTAGTATGCAATTGGTGCGTTCAAGTCCTCCTGGGAAGTTTGTATTTATGAATTTAGAAGTCGTAATTACGATGGAAGGTGCATTCAGGTCAGTTTGGTCAGATCAAGATGGCAATGTCCTGTACCATTTCGACAAAAAATTCAGCAAGATTTCTTAACTCTACTTCTACAATATGTAATTGCACAATACTATGGAATTTTATACATAAAACTTTGATAGTTTTAATTGTAAATAAAAAAAAATGTGGTGGAATTTATGTGCATTCAACTCTTACATACAATCTTTCTGGCATGCATCATATAATGTGGTCACATGACCTTACTACATTGTATATTTAAATAATGAATTTTCATTTTGCAAGTACATATGGTTATTTTGCATTTTAATCCAATTTTGGGTCAAATTTGTGACAGAATTATTCAAGTAAGTCAAAAAAAAGATGTAGTTGGGTTATTATCTGCCTACTAATCATAGTATACATGCTATATACTTCAGAAATTCCCAACACTTTCAAATATAACTATATTGTACTATATAAGGCTTTATTCGAAATGTTGGGTTTTATAGACCCAGTGACATCAAAATTGGGTTTCTGTGGCTTTTAGTCAATGTCTGCAAACTATTTTAGTATTTTAGTAGTTATGTGCAGCATTATGTTTTATGCAACAAGTAAGATTTCAACTTGGTAGCATGTTATATTGTGGTCACATGGCCTTACTACACTGCATAGTTAATTCATTCAATTTAAAACATTAAATTTGTTTTACATTTTCACAGAACAATATAATAACGAGTCAAGAAAGATACAGTTGGTCAATATTTACAAACTAGTCATAGTATGCATGCTATATACTTAATAAAATTTGTAAGAGTAGCTATTCTGAACATCGTTTAGCTGTGGTTTTGCAGATGTAACATTTTTTTTTTGCTATTTAAAAAATAAGTTGTGTCAATTTTCTGTTTTAGTATATACAGAAATACATGTGATATCACAAATCCCGGAAAATATGTGTTGTAGTCCAAACGAGTCGTTCGTTGTACTTTTTGAAAAGTGATTTCTGTTGAATAAAATCTTTTTTTGAAGGTGATATCACAAATCCCGGAAAATATGTGTTGTAGTCCAAACGAGCCGTTCGTTGTACTTTTTGAAAAGTGATTTCTGTTGAATAAAATATCTTTTTTTGAAGTGAACTTTGAGCTTTGTAACTTTGCAGATCTTTTTTATGCTCAAACAGCAACATTACAGACTTACTAAAGTTGAAAAAGTGAAAAAGCATAATAGGACCCCTTTAAATGACAACATTTATGTATAGTTTAAGCTGCAAATGTGCCAAAATGAGCAGACTATTTGGATTAAAGTTAATGTTACTAAGTTTTCAGGTTTGAGGTTGGGAAAATTTGTTCAGTACTTAGATTTCTTAACCTGCTGTTAATTTGATGAAATACTAACATATTTCACTGCTTGAAAACTCAAATAACTCATTAATACACTAAGGACCAAAATATGAGTGTGTATATTTAGAGTACGGGGGTAGCAGAGAGAGGTCAGGCTATGGATTTCCTGCCACAAACAGTCCTCCCTGAGGTCTGTCCCCAGCTTTAACTTTGATCTGAGCAGTTGTGGAATAATCCTTTGTCTAATTACATGTGTGGCAAATACCGCAGATATAATTAGCCAGAGTGATACAGCTCATGTAGGTCTTTCTCTCTCCATCACTGATGACTGTTTGTGCTAATGCTAACCTCTTTGTTTCTTTCCTTCACTCTTTTTCCTGCTTCTGTGCCTGCAGTGGATATTTGGTCAGTTGGTTGCATCATGGGAGAAATGGTGCGCCACAAAATCCTATTCCCCGGCAGGGATTGTATCCTTCATGAATGGGTCCAAACTGGCTTGATTTTACTATCCAATAAGAAAGTAGCATCAGTTTTATCAAGCAGAATAAATCTGTAATTCTTAATAATACATAAACTGCATAGTGCTATATTTTTGTCTCAAATTGGACTGAAAGACAGATCTTTTTTCAGTACACACAAAATAGTGAGTTTTTGTTTTGTTTAATTCTATTAAACGTTTAAAACTTTTTCTTATACTTTTTAGTGTTGCGTATCAATATATTATTATATAATATTTATAATATAAATAATAATTTTTTTTAAAGTGGCGTTTATCGGTTTTTGCAAATGAACTCTTCTACACACACATAAACACTGTATATATACACACATACACTTATAAGTAATTTTATGAGTACTATTTTATTTATATATTTTTATGGTTTTCATGATTTTGTGGTCCATATGAGACTCAACCTGACTGGACCAGTGTTCATCTGTTCAGGCAAAACTAATCGACTAAGTCTGTAGTTTCCCTAACCTGCAGGTTTTGCTCAGGTTTTCGTATTTTAGTTGTAGCTTAAAGATCCAAATCTCTTTTTCTGACTTTACAACACTTGTACCTTCCCTCATTCCCTTCAGTCCTCTATGAATATTTAAGATTGTGTTCATTAGGTTGCTGCGGGATCATTGTCTGATGTGTTTTTGAGACCGATGTGGAGGCACCTCTCCTCAGCGCACTGTAGTTATTCGCCCCTTAATGGGAAGCAGTTCTTGCTTAATTGGCATTTAGAGACAGTGGAACTAGTAAAATAATGATCTCCCTCTCCAGTCACTCATTAAGTTAATTTTATTCATTTATTTAGTGATTTTGCTTTCAGCTGCTGTTTTGGAGTGTTCTGTGATGGTAATGTAGTTATAGTAAAGTTAGTAGGGGAGCAGTACTTGTTTTCTGCTCTCCAAACTGCAATCAAGGTATTGATCCTGTAGACCAAGCTTGGCTTATTTGGGTCTTTTTAAAAACTCATTAACACGTGCCTGAATGGACTTCTTTGCTGTGCTGTTTCGTCGATACCATTTACATAGTACACATCTACAGGGTGTAATTTACTAAAGCCTGAAACACTAAACCTATTTTAATATAAGTATTTAACATCTTCACTTTGGTTGATTTCTGGTTTGGTTGATTTGGTTGAATTTAACTTTGCACCTGATATGCACGTATTTTAATTTTGATTTCGTGGGGACTTTAAATGTGTCACATATTCTCAATTAGTACTCTTTATACATCTGTTCAGCTGCCTGCCTAGATAGCATTTTAAAGCATCTTAAGCGAAAGCCTGTTCCAAAATGTAGACAGCAAAGCATCTTAGAAAAAATGTCTTATAAAATACCTTCTTTTGGCAAATTTCAGTTGCAAGATTGTATGTATGCAAAGGATATTCTAGACTGCACTGCAGCCAGCTTGTATCCAAGCAGTTAGCTTAACAACATGCTAATGACAAACTCCATTGGAATCAATTGAATCAAGCATCTGAGTTACTTATGTAGTGTTCTAATTCAGGTAATTATACTGAAATATACACTGCATGTGTTGTTTTATGTGGTATATTGAGTGTCTGATTGTATGTTGCAAGCATGTTGTGTTGTGTTGTGTTGTGTTGTGTTGTGTGTGCTGTAGTGGACATGTGGTCTGTAGGCTGTATCTTTGGGGAAGTTATAAGAGGAACAGTGCTGTTTCCAGGGACAGATCGTATCCTTCCCGTCTGTCTGTTCTCCACTCCTCACTGCTGTCTCCATTCGTATTGTACTTGCCAAATATGACCTAATATTTTATATTTATATACACTACTGTTCAAAAGTTTGGGTCCGGTAAGATTTTTTTGTATGTGTTTGTATCTTATGCTGAATTATTTGACAAAAAATACAGTAAAAACCATTAAAGTAAAATAATAATAATAATAAATAAAATGAAATAAAAATCTTATTTTGCTTGTCAAATATGACATTAAAATGTTCGATATGTATGTATTTATGTATGTGTATACACACACACACACACACACACACACACACACACATATATGTGTGTGTGTGTGTGTGCGTGTATATATGTGTGCATGTGATGTATGTATGTATGCATGCGCGCGTGTGTGTGTGTATATATACAGTATATATATATATATATATAAATATAAAAAAAAAATATAAATTTTATAAAAAAATATAAATTTTATAGAAAGTATTTTATTTCAGAAGATTTGTCACTTTTGATCAGTTTAATACATCCTTACTGAATAATTTCTTTAAAAAAAAAGCTTACTGACTCCAGATATATATATATATATTAGATACAATAGCAAATATTATAAAATTCATGAAAATTCTGTAGAATGAAAGCCGCCAGGCAGCCGTTATTGTCTGTTTGGCTTCCTTAAACGTGTGATGGCAAGATAGAGGGAGAGAGATACGGGCCGGGCTTTGTGTTTTGGGTGGGAGGCAGTGGGCCGTTCCTGCAGGATGATGTAATGTGGTCCTGGCTGCCCCGGGCCCTTTGAACCAGGACCCCCTTTTGTGGGAATCATGGGAAGCCTGGGAAGCAAAAGCAGTCATGTGACTCCTCAGGGCTAAATAGGCTACCATGACAACATCAATTTCCCCCCTCTGTTGCTAGGCACCCATCTTCAGGATCCATTCACTCCGGCCGGCTCAGACCTATATGCTGTAAACCATTCCCTTAAACGCCAATAATCAAGAGCGTTGAATGCCAGCAGTCTCTCTCTCTCTCTTTCCATTCTCGTTCCTGCTCTAGCTGCCCTCATTTCCCACCGCTACACTTCAGTGATAATGACACCAATGAGGAGATTGCTGAGAGAAATGTCATTTCATAACAAGGGTGCCGTTCAGATTTATTAAGATGTGTTTGATCTGGTGGATAACAGACTTATTCAATGTTTATATACACTACCGCCTTTAATGTTTTTGAAAGAACATGTCTTATGCTCACCAAGGCTGCATTTATTTAATGAAAATACAGTAAAAACGGTAATATATTGTGAAATATTATTACAATTTGAAATAGCTGTTTTCTGTAATTTATTCCTGTAATGTAAAGCTGAATTTTCAGCATCATTACTTCAGTATTCAGTGTCACATGATCCTTCAGAAATCATTCTAATATGTTGATTTGCTGCTCAACAAACATCTTGTATTATTATCAATATTGAATACAGTTGCGCTGTTTTTTGTGGAAATCGTGATACACTACCATACCAGATTGGGGTGTTTTTTTGTTTTTTTTAAGATTAATACTTTTATTCAGTACGGACATATTCAAATGATCAAAAGTGACAGTAAATTATACATTAAATTTCTATAGAATTTCTATTGTAAATGCTGTTCACTGAAATTTTTGTTCATCAAAGAATCTTGGTTTTCAACATTGATAATAATAAGAACCATTATTAATAATTTCACCAATAATAACTGACCACCAAATCAGCATATTAGAATGATTCCCGAAGGATCTTGTGACACTGAAAACTGGAGTAATGATGCTGAAAATTCAGCTTTGCATCACAGGAATAAATTGCTTTTTAAAATATATTCAAATAGAACAATGTTCTTTTAAACTGTAATAATATTTCACAATATTTCTATTTTTACTGTATTCTATTTTTGATCAAATAAATGCAGCCCTGGTGAGCATAAGAGACTTCTTTCGAATAAAAATGTGACTAGATATTTTATTTTTTATATATATATTTTCCATCAAATGCAAAAGTTGAAGTAATATAATTTTATAACTTTTAATAATTATAATTAGCCTTTACTGTGATATTAACAGTAAATATTAATGTTTTTACTGTATTTTTGATCAAATAAATGCAGCCTTGGTGAGCATAAGATAATTCTTTAAAAAAAATAAAAAAAATCTTACACCACTGAGTCTATCTAATCTTAATTATAGTTATAAATATTAATTATTCCAAACTTTTGACCCGTAGTGTAATCAAAAAATAAATCATTAATATTTTTAATATTTAAATGTATTTATTTATTGCTCATAATATTAAATCAGGCAATCTGATTAGAATGAAGTGTGGGCCATTATGTCATCAAAGACTCAAATGCTCACTCCTCAAGCGTAAGATGATAAATATATCAAAGCATGGTCAGTCATCTGTATGTCTATATCTGATCTTGTTCAAACTGTCTAGGGTCTGGTAATTGTTTGTTTGAATGAGCATGTCTGCAGTCTCTGGAAACACTTGCAGCACTCAGTGACGCTTAACAAAAACGTTTGGTGTGGAAATCACTTCCTTACTCACCGAGGACGAGGAAGCATTGTTTGTTTTGCTAGATTGTTTGTTTGCAGCAATAGCCAATTAAGAATGCATTGTGAATTGTTAAAAAATAATAGCATGGACTCTAACCTAATAACAGTCAGGACTTGAACTTGGGTCCCTGTGAGCCAAGGGCTCTTATACGTCAAAGCACGCGTGATGCTCTCTGAGTTTATGATTTACAGTAGCTCTGATATTATGTTTTACAACACAACTTATCTAGACCAGGGTCAGAAATTAACCTGGACTTGGTGCAAAAAATTGTTTAGAAATTGACAACAAAAAAAAGACCAAATTTCAAAATGTTGGTAAAGAGTTCCTGTTTTTGTTGATTTCATTTTATGGATAAAAGGTAATAAATGCATACATTTTCAATCTAATTATTGAGAGTTTGTGTTAATGAATGGATTATATTAAAGTATTTGACATAAAATGCTTATACAGAATATGTTTTAAATTGTTACAAAAAAATATGCCATGTTGCCATCATAAAAGATAAACAATACCCCTGCAAATCAGTTCCAATGGGCAAATATAGTGGCTCTTAATGTAAAAGTTAGTTTCCTGAAACTATTTAGATCAGTCTTGCTTCCATCTTATTTGATTTTTTGATTTTTTTTTGTGCTTTATGATATTTTTTTGCCTTCGAAATAAGCTCTTACAAGATTTCAGTGAGAGTCCTATCCCAGAATGCAAACACATAATGAAAATGAGCATTGTAAAACTGGTTCATATTGGAATATAGGGTAATACTGGATCTTATGGAGTCTAATGGGAAGTAATATTCCAAACACAAAAATTGGGATTCTCTTGATTGTAATGACTCAGCTGATGGCTTAACTCAAGTATTATCAGTATCATTATCTATGTACTGATTTGGTTTATTTCTGTTTAATTAGACAACAAATTCAGGCTTTTTCCCACTCCGGGTCTAATTAGGACCCCTCTGAGTGTTTTAGCCTTTACTGATTTAGCTTTATTATCCTGGAGTGGGAGTGTAATCAAACTTTATTTCACATTATATCTTCATTTTATTCTCCATTTAAAAGTGAAATATCGTACTTTGTATAATGCATAAACAGCCAGCCTGAGGGCCGTACGTAGGTGTTTTTTTCCGTGACTCCACCCACATTCAGACATTGACCAATGGAATAAGGTTATAGAGCAGCTCGGCACGCCCTCTCCTGAGTTCATGAAGAAACTGCAGCCGACGGTGCGTAACTACGTGGAGAACAGGCCAAAATACGCCGGCCTGACCTTCCCCAAACTCTTCCCTGATTGCCTCTTCCCTGCAGACTCAGAGCACAACAAACTCAAAGGTAAGCCAGAGTTTGTGTACATTTAGTTGTGAGCGTGTTATTTGGTATACGAACATTTGTCAAGTACTGTCAATTTTTTTTTGTGTGTGTGTAGCTTGATTTTGAGGTTGAATCTCATGAAAAACTCTTGAAAAAATATGTGTGGTCATATTTAATCCCTAAAATAAAATAAAATAAAATAATAAAATAAAATAAAATAAAATAAAAATTTATATATATTTTGTGTAAAGAAAACAAAGCCCACTTTTATGACCATTAGAATCTCCTCCATTCTCATTCAAAAAGTAAACATAAAATTGAAATAAATACATAAATATTTTGTATAGATAAATTTAATATATTAAAGTTACTTTTTATATATCAATATATTTTGTGTAAAGAAAACAAAGCCTAATTTTATGACAAACTTTCTCCATTCTCAATAAAAAAAAAACAAACAATGAAAATAAAAAAAACAGAAAATATTATAAAATGTAATTATTTTTATGTAGATAATTTTAATATATTTATATAATGAAGCCTATTTTATGACCATTAGAATTTCCTCTATTCTTAATACAGTTTAAATAAATAAATATTATACTATAATATAAATTAATATATTGTAACATTTTATGTACTAATATATTTTGTGTAAAGACAACCAAGCTTATTTTGATCACCAATAGAATTTCCTTAATTCTTAGTAACCTACTGTGATATTAAAAATATATTTTAATTTGGAAAAAAATATATCATTTTAATTGTAGAGTACAATTATAAGCCATTTGTGAGATTCACTCTAAAATACTACTAGGATCATTAAAAAAATTAATCACAGGTAATAATTTCAGTTTGATTTATCTCTCTTTGTTATGTTCATGGTATGCCTGCATGAATCAGGCAGCAATTTCCTTCCCATTTGCAAAAATTGAGAGACGTTTCATAAATTATGTTCAGAGCTGTAGTCGTTCTTCAGGGGAAAGCGGAGGAGAATCATGAGTTTTTGATATGGAAATTGCGTGGTGGAGTGTATTCTCAGTGAACAGACATCACAGGCAGATGCTGGATGTTCTACAGTTTGGGAAAGGCAGTGCTGATTAGACTCTGTCGGTGTCGGTGTGACTCTAAATTGGCTGGGTGAGATATGACGAATATGAGTGTGATTGTGAAGCTGGACCACTGCCATCAGGTACAGCAGCTAAAGTCTCCGTCTGTCACAGTGTGCTGGAGGAGACGGAGCAACACATGTGCTTTTCAGTTTCAGGCCTTGTACACCATTGCACTGCACATTTTTCATGACTTGCTGATTCAACTCATCAGCCTGCAGTTGAGGCTCCATGAACTGTTCTGGGTGTGTGAGATAAGCAAAACATCCAAAATGGGCAGTGCAGTGGTCCAGACCAAAGACCAAAACCGAGATGCACCATATTATATTATATTATATTATATTATATTATATTATATATTTTCAGTTTGCTTTTGTTTTATTTAATAATTTCATTTAATTTAATTTGTCATTTTTGTAATTTAATGATATTTTATTTCAATTAATTTTTGTGCATTTTAATTTTTTGACTATTCGTGATTTCAGTTTGTGTTTCAGTTTAATTTTATTATTTACTTTTATTTATTTTATTTTGTTTAATTTTATGTAATTTCATTTAGTCATTTATTTAATTTTTTGTGTTTCAGTTTCATTTCATTATTGTTTATTTATTTTATTTTTTCATTTTATTTAATGTCATTTCATGTAATTTTTGACTATTTGTGATTTGATTTTGTGTTTGAGTTCTATTTTGTTATTTTATTTGTCGTTTTATTTCATGTCATTTTTTAGGGGTTAAACGCGTAGCGCTGAAACCCTATTGTAATTGGTAGAATAGCTAAGGATCAGCAATCTCCATGTAAAACTGATCGGGCAGACCAAACCGATATCACATTTTTCAAGGGCGTAAACGATTGTATATTGCGCGGTTTTTCACATGTACACACAATATTCGTATCTGATAGACCTCCTCATTCTGAACAACTTTGCCTCTAGAACCACTGCTGTCAATCAAATTGTTTGTTACATAATTGAGAATATGTAAAAAAAACTACTTTTGTGAACTAGTCCTAGGTTTTTCACTCAAGCTCGAAAACACCACTGCAGTACAATTCTCTGGACTCTCCCTAGGTCAATAATTATCAAAACAATGTTGAACTTTACCCTTTGGGTAGCTATAACGTGGTCGTTCAGAAAAGGGGCGTGTCCAAATATACCCAAAAGCCTATAAAACCTAAACAAAAACTCAAAACTTCACGAAATTTGGTGAGCACATGCGACAGGTGATTCTAAACAAGCATGCAAAGTTTTATGGAGATCGGACCATAGGTGGCGCTATAACAGTTAAAAAGGCTTCAAAAACACTATATTTCTATGGTAAATGACCTCAAATTGCAGAAAATGTTCATATATTCACGCATCTTCAGATCGTATGATCGATCTCCTCATTCTGAACAAATTTGCTGTCAGTCAAATTGTTCTTTAAATATTTGACATTATTTACAAAAAAATACTTTTGCAAACTACTCCAATCCGACCACAGGTGGCACTATAAAAATCATCATATTTCTATGGTAAATTACCTGGATTTGCCAAAAATGCTTTATTTAATGATTTAGGTGGTTACCGGCTGGCTAAATAATACGTAATGTCCTTTTTCATATGTGCTTAAATGCCTCAAAGCGCTTGAACCCCGATAATAGCTGCTTGCAGCTATGTTTTCATTTTATTTTCGTAAATTTGAACTTTTTTGACTATTTGTAATCAGCGATTTTACTTAGTCTTCAAACACTTAGCCAATATAAATGTGCAGTTTATTAAACACATTTACATGACAAATTGATATTGAAAGGCAGAGAGGGGGAGCGAGTCAGAGAGAGAGAGAGAGAGAGAGAGAGTCAGCCGTACAGATCTGCAGAAATCGGTGTCGGCCATTTTGAAGCGATCTAGCAGAGAGAAGAGAGAGATGGGATGATGCTGTAAGAAGAGAGAGAGAAAGGGTCTGACTTTCCCTAGCTATTTATAGAGCAAGAAAGTGAGGGAATCAGAGAGCGTGCAGAGGTGGAGAGGAAGAGAGGAAAGGAAAGGTGAGAGTGTGAGGAAAGACGAGCAGGAGAGTGTGATGTTTTCGGTGCCCTTGCAAAGGAAGCAAAGAAATAGAGGATGAAATGTGACGATTGTAGTGTCTGTGAGATGTTTGCACTGAATTCTTCAAACACCTGAAATCAACAATAATTCTGTTTACTTCCTTAATAAATGTCCCTGCTCTAATTCTGTTCAAGTTCCAATAAAAATATATGTAATATACAGTATATGCTCACCATGTCTGCATTTAAATGAACAAAAATACAGTAAAAACAGTAATATTTTGAAATGCTATTGATACTTATTCATAACAATTATGAATTATTATTAGGGCTCAATTAATAATGGTTCTTATTATTATCGATGTTAAAAAACTTGACGTTAAAACAATTAAGCAGCAAAAACTTTTTCAGCATGGATAATAATGATGTTTCTTGAGGAGCAAATCAGCACATTAGAATGATTTCTGAGGATCATCGATAAATATTGCACGATATTTAATGCGCATCTCGTCAGTAAATCCGGTTCTGTAATCAGCGGTTAATCTCTACACGTGCATGCTTTCACGTTCATATTTTGCGCATGTTTTGCGCAGCTTGTCTGTGAACAGCCCCATGCAGCCCTACCCCAAATCATCACAGACTGTGGAAACTTAACACTGGACTTCAAGCAACTTGGGCTATGAGCTTCTCCACCCTTCCTCCAGACTCTAGGACCTTTGTCTCCAAATGAATTACAAAACTTGCTCTCATCTGAAAAGAGAACTTTGGACCACTGGGCAACAGTCCAGTTCTTCTTCTCCTTAGACCAGGTAAGACGCCTCTGACGTTGTCATTCAGGAGTGGCTTAACAAGAGGAATTAATGATGCTGAAAATTCAGCTTTACATCACAGGAATAAATTACATTTTACAATATATTCAAATAGAACAATGTTCTTTCAAATTGTAATAATATTTGACAATATTTCTATTTTTACTGTATTTTTGATCAAATAAATGCAGCCTCGGTGAGCAGAAGACACTTCTTTCAAATAAAAATGACTTTTCCACGACATTCTAATTTATTGAGATGCACCTGTATATATATATATATATATTCTAACAAATGCAAAAGTTAGAGTTGAATAATTTTATAACGTTTAATAGATATAATCATTTTAATTAGCCTTTATAAAAATGATACAATTCTGTAAAATGCCTCCATTTAGCTGATGCAAAATTGTTAAGCTCTGTTGTGGTGTGTTTTACAGCTAGTCAGGCCAGAGACCTGCTGTCTAAGATGTTGATCATTGATCCCGCTAAGCGGATCTCAGTGGACGAGGCCCTGCAGCACCCCTACATCAACGTGTGGTACGACCCGACCGAGGTGGAGGCAGTGAGTACAACTCTCCTAATTCTCTCAGCGTTATCGATTAGTGCGCCTGCGGTCATCTGTCACCTGTTTATTCTGATTTAGCAGCCTCTCAGCTGTGTCCACACTACTGCTAGCTAACCCTTAGGGTTAAAGACTGTCCACATGCATGTCTTTTATATACTGAGGCCTACCTACTGTGTTAAAGTTTGACCAAATTCAGTATTTTGATTCATCTATTCTGTTTGTTTCTCACATGGTTGGACCACTGTGACCAATCATGATACCCTCCATCACTCACAACTGATTGAATATGCATGAGAAAAAAAAATATTGCTATGCAATGTACATCGCTGTAAATAGCTACCAATCAATATGACATATTACAGGCATAAGGCCTATTCACACCGAGATTGAATTTTCAAGACAAAGAAAATGCATGGAAAGATTTAAAAATGAAATGTTTAATTTAATATAAAATATAAAATAATATAAAACGAATATGTATTTGTTTGTTTGTATTTATTTATTTGTTTTAATTTGCACATATATTAAATAATTATGCATTTTTAATATTCATAATATTTTACGAATTAAACCCACCACATTAGGTTACACAAATAAAATTATTTTAATTGCATGCATTTGTACCAAGTCTGAATGTTTTGTTTTTCCTAAGATCAAAAATATTTATTTAAATATTTATTTATTTATTTATTTAATTTACACATTTATAAAATTATTATGCATTGTTTATTATTTATAAAATATTATGAATTAAACTCACCATATTAGGTTATACCAATAAAATTATTTTTTTAATAATTGCATGCATTTGTACCAGTTCTGAACGTTCTGTTTCTTCTAAATTCATTCAGATCAAAATTATTTATTGATTTAATTTATACAATTAATAAATGATTATGTATATTTTATTATTCAGAAAATATTATGAATTAAATGCACCACATTCGGTTATGCCAATAAATTTTTTATTTTTTTTAACAATTTCATGCATTCACACCAAGTCTGAAATTTCGAACTACAACTATTTTTTTTAATACAGCAACAAATATTTTTTACATATATTAATATAATTTTATTTATTTTTTTATTTTTTTAATGTTTTTTTTTTTTTCAGCATCAGACTTGGATGCTTAGACGCAATTTGTATTACATTATATTTTGCAGATCTAATAGATCCTCATTCAATAGTTTGAAATTATTAGCTAGGTTTACTTTTACTTTTTAGGTTTACGTTGCATTTGTTAAGTTTGTAAATGTTCCTGGTTGATTCTGGGGACCTTCATCAGTTTGAGAGGACACAAGAAAGGAGTAAAAATAACAGAAAGTTGTCCTGTTCTTTGATGAAGATTTCTAAACATTCAATAAGCATTTGCCTCGGCTTCTATTCACACGTCCCCTTTTGACAAACAGCCTGTTCTTGTCTAAAGTGTGTGTCTGTAGTACTGTTTCAAAGGGGTTTCAAGGATGCAACGAGTCTGGTTTTCTTGTTCTAGAGAGTACAGAACACAAATTACTAAGCTACATAGACAAACACGTAACAAAATACTAGCTCACATTTATTGTCTGTAAATATGTGTACAGCTGTTAGCAGATGTCATTTTATGTGAACGCTCTTTTCTGTTGACCCAAATATGAAACGAAAATATGATAGAAAATCTGACATTCAATAGCAAATAGATGTTTTAATAACCCATGAGCATCGTTATGATTAGTGTGATTCTTTTCTCCTTCTCTCTGGTGTTTCTCGTTCTCTGATGAAGGCCAGGAATCAGCAGATATCTATGGTAAATAAAGACCATTCCACACTTAGGAAACCTCCTCATCTCAAATCACTCACACACCGATCTCTTTGTAACACACACTGATGTCTAGAACTCAAAAAAACGAAAAAGACTGCACCTGAAAGTTGCACAGTGCGTGTAGGGTGTGAATATCTGTGTGTGTTTGTATTGTGTACTAATCCTGGAGAATGTATGAAAGGAACAATGAGTTTAAATTCTGTATCCAAATAACATTTAGAGGCAATGAATAGAATAGAATAGAATTCTGGGGAGGTTTAAACTTTTAAACCTTCCCAGTTGGTGGTTTTAGTTTTAAATGAGTTTAATTAATCAAATGGGAGCCCAAACTATGATCAAATGCTAAGTTATTGATTTTTATGATGATTATGATCATTTAGTTCAACCAGTCAACAAAAGGCCACCCAAACACATTGAACAAATGAACAGAATCGCTTATTCACTTTAAGATCGACTGACTCAGTGGAAAGGCATTCAAAAGAACTCACCTGTGCGCTTTGTGAGATAAAATAAAGTAAAACTAATACATTTCAAATGAATACTGCAGATTCATTGTGCATTAAGGAACCCCGATTTCCCAAAACGCTCCATTCAGTGCCATTTAATCTCTCGCTTTCTGTTTCTTACTCTTTAATTAACTCTGGCTTGTCACAAATCCTAGTGAGCTGCCTATGTAGACAACATTTTTGGCAGCAACACAGGAACATTTGAATCAAGCACTAAAATGATGCCTGTTTCTGAACATTTGAATACCGAAAATGCTGCTGAGGTTTGATTTGATTGTTCAAATGTGTCCACGATTCCCAAAAATGCAGTCTAGCTAGGCTGCTCACTAGGTCCTGAGACACAGCCTGTCTTTCTAATGTCTGTGTCTTAAATCATCCGAAATCATACTGCAGATTTTCTCTGCTTTTCTGTCCTGCTAATGGTGGTGTTTGGTCCTTATTTACTAAGTTCTTACTGTTGAACATGTCAACTGCATGTGCAAGTGGTGGTGACACGTCACATTACAGTGTCCATGTTATTTTACATGAAAATATTGTTAGTTATAAAAATGATTATGTTCACAAAGTCTAATTTAACAGGCAAATGTAATTTACTCATTATATTGTAATATGAACACTGTAATGTAACATATACACTACCGGTCAAAAGTTTGGGATCATTAAGTCTTGTAATGTTTTTTTAAAGAAGTCTCTTATGTTCATCAAGGCTGCATTTATTTGATCAAAAATACAGAAAAAAACAGTAATCTTGCAAAATGTTATTACAATATAATATAATGGTTTCTATTTTAATATCCTTTAAAATATAATTTATTTCTGTGATGCAAAGCTGAGTTTCTATCAGCCATTACTCCAGTATAAAGTGTCACATGATCCTTCAGAAATCATTCTAATATGCTGATTTATTATTAGAATTATCAATGTTGGCAACAGTTACGCTGCCAAATATTTTTTTTGGAAACTGCAATACTTTTTTCAGGATTCTTTGATGAATAAAAAGTTAAAAAGAACACCATGTATTCAAAATATAAATCTTTTCTAACAATATAAATCTTTGCTATCACTTCTTAACAATT